GGGAAAGCCCCTCTGGAATAAAGTCTCCCCAGTGCAAGTACCTCTCGTTGGGAAAGCCCCTCTGGGTATCTTCAGCCTTATCGTTGTCCAGTGCAATTACCTCTCGTTGGGAAAGCCCCTCTGGACAAGGCATAAGGGTGACGATAACTAATCTACAGTTCCCCAAGCAGCGTTGACGTGTGGCTCCCTATAAGAACCCCAGTGTTCGAAGGGTCATGCATCTTATAGGATTAGTGTATACGTAAGGGCATACTTGGGAAAGTATGTATCTATATTTTTATATAACTTGAGCGAGTTTCTCTCCATCAACCCCCAAAGCTTTCTGACCACCTTTTTTATTCATATCTAAGTACACGGCCTAACGAGACCCAGTTGTGAGCAGTTTTGAATTTTATATTTAACTGCACCAAGTCTTCACCTTTGTTGGGCACACACAACAATTCTTTTTCTATACTGGGCAGAATGATTTTTGTTGATTCTACGAACCACATTATCTAATCTAGTTATTTCCGCTCTACACATTGAACCTGGTGTATTAAGCCTACCTTCTTTAACACAATGCGCATGGGTACTCGGCAAATACTTTTTTTTTCTGCAGCTTCATAATTGCTTATCTATGCAAAATCACTTTTAATGTAAAAACTCTATGTAGGTAGTAAAAAAAAAGGACCTAATAAAGGGGCAGCAAGTTTGACTCTTGCTCTGGCTTGCCATTGTCATTTCTTATCTTTGTCACTTTTGTATTTTTCTCTCATCTCTCCATTCTTTTACATACTCTGTTGTCTCATTTTTATATTTTAGCAAATGAATTACCACATAATGAGTATAGTCATCCATTATTGTTAACATACACTTTTTATTGTCCCATGTTTGTGGATTGATTGGTCCACATAATGTATGAGCTCTAAAGGTGCTCTTTTTTTTTCACTGTCGAAAGGTAGTTTTGTTTGTTTTTTTTTTAAACATACTTCACATGGTATTTCAAATAAATCACAGTGTTTTTTATCTATATCCATTCCTGTAATCATTTCCTATAGTGTCCTTGAGAAAAATGCTAGAGGAGCTTCATTTTGTGATAAGCAACTTCCAATGGCATAGTCTAATGCGTCTGTTTCTACTGTGAATGTGAAATTTTTATCAATGGCAGTGATGACAGTGTGAGACTCTAAATTTAGAAACTTGGTAAGATGTTAAATTGGCGAGCGGTGACTTTACTTTCTGAGTGGAGACAGTTTAAAATGGGTCCTATTTGCGGGTGGAGAGTAAAACACAGAAATATTGCGGTCAATTAAAATAAAGTTTATTTTATTAAAATAAATAACAGGCGTCGGTACTAAATAATCTTACAATAATATTTTTATTCACAGTTTGACTCGATTAACACTCTTGCCTTCACAATTTTTGGCTGAACTTAAAAATACTCTACTTACATTTAACAATAATATATTTACTGCTGGCCACACCTAATTACATGGAAATCTTATTGGTCGAAGGAATTTACTTTAACTATAAACACTTGATAAAAAACTCGAATATTTTCGCGCTGTTATTTCACGTCGTGCTTCTTCTCTCGGTTAATTCGACAACTCTTTCACGCCGTAGTTCTGACTTTCTGGGCACAGGTCTCTCGATTCTCGATTACTACTTGTTTCTTGATTACTCAACCGACACTGGTTTTTCACGCCGTAGTTCTGCCCGTTTACTAGCTCTTTCTCGAACACTCTTATCAAACACTGATTTTCTCCTGCCAAAGTTGCCTTTTTATATCATTGGTCCCTCCATTGTCTTGAATTTCTTTATTTTTTCTGACCTCGATTTTTCGTAGTTGAATTTGGTCCCCTTTTAATTAATTATCAAGGGCGTCGCTAAATGGTTTATTAAGTGGGTATCATCATATAGGCTCGTGCATGATTTATTGATCCTTTTAGAAATTTTTCGGCTCCTTTGGAATGTTAATTGTTGAAAGCACTTAAAAAAAGGTCCATGAACTTTTCCTTTATACACATTCCAATGTATTAGTCAATATAGGGTACCGGCTTTCAATAATTTCTGGATATCGATGTTCAGATAATTTTTAATTGAAGTTTCTGGTTGTGCTGTCTAAGTGATGATCTCTTCTGGGATGGTTGTTTGGTAAGTCCTTGTTATTCATGATTAATTTTCGGTAGTTGGATCCTAGGTCTTTAGTTGTTTAGAATAATCAGAACCTTTAATTGTTTTCTTGGTGGTTTATTTCCGCGTCACTACAACAGCTTTCCCCAATACTGATTTTAATGAAAAATTATATCCCGGTGGAGGCAATTTTATCAGGATCAGGTTTAATTTGTTGATTTTCACTATTTCTTAGGAGTCCTATTTTTCTCAGTCAGTACTTTGATTTGGTAGAGTTTATAAGTTTATACTATTCAGCAACTTTAAAAAAAAAAAAAATTGTCATACACGTTTCGAGTATTACCATTACCACACACTGTGATATCATCAAGATATGCATATTACGTGCCTCGAAGATTCTGTTTCTTGATTTTACTGTAAACGACTCTTTGAAAACTGACAACTCCATTGGTAACACCAAAAGGAATTCTCGCTAATTGATCTAATTCGCCGTACGCCTTAAGCACAGTATAAGGTTTTTCATGTTCGAGAATTGAAATTTGGTGATATGCACTTTTTAGATCTATAAGTGCTGAAAACTTGGTACCGTAACACTTTTGAAATATTTCTCCTATGTTTGGAATTTTTTCTTTTACCATTATACATACCCCTCGTTTTTATCTAAAATACACTCTATCCAGACCTGATTTTGCCTGGTTATTCAATGCAAATTGCGACGCATAAGTACCCTACAATGAATCAAAAAACAAATTTACATAAGCATTAACATGCTCCAAACAATTTTTGGCTGAACTTAAAAATACTCTACTTACATTTAACAATAATATATTTACTGCTGGCCACACCTAATTACATGGAAATCTTATTGGTCGAAGGAATTTACTTTAACTATAAACACTTGATAAAAAACTCGAATATTTTCGCGCTGTTATTTCACGTCGTGCTTCTTCTCTCGGTTAATTCGACAACTCTTTCACGCCGTAGTTCTGACTTTCTGGGCACAGGTCTCTCGATTCTCGATTACTACTTGTTTCTTGATTACTCAACCGACACTGGTTTTTCACGCCGTAGTTCTGCCCGTTTACTAGCTCTTTCTCGAACACTCTTATCAAACACTGATTTTCTCCTGCCAAAGTTGCCTTTTTATATCATTGGTCCCTCCATTGTCTTGAATTTCTTTATTTTTTCTGACCTCGATTTTTCGTAGTTGAATTTGGTCCCCTTTTAATTAATTATCAAGGGCGTCGCTAAATGGTTTATTAAGTGGGTATCATCATATAGGCTCGTGCATGATTTATTGATCCTTTTAGAAATTTTTCGGCTCCTTTGGAATGTTAATTGTTGAAAGCACTTAAAAAAAGGTCCATGAACTTTTCCTTTATACACATTCCAATGTATTAGTCAATATAGGGTACCGGCTTTCAATAATTTCTGGATATCGATGTTCAGATAATTTTTAATTGAAGTTTCTGGTTGTGCTGTCTAAGTGATGATCTCTTCTGGGATGGTTGTTTGGTAAGTCCTTGTTATTCATGATTAATTTTCGGTAGTTGGATCCTAGGTCTTTAGTTGTTTAGAATAATCAGAACCTTTAATTGTTTTCTTGGTGGTTTATTTCCGCGTCACTACAACAGCTTTCCCCAATACTGATTTTAATGAAAAATTATATCCCGGTGGAGGCAATTTTATCAGGATCAGGTTTAATTTGTTGATTTTCACTATTTCTTAGGAGTCCTATTTTTCTCAGTCAGTACTTTGATTTGGTAGAGTTTATAAGTTTATACTATTCAGCAACTTTAAAAAAAAAAAAAATTGTCATACACGTTTCGAGTATTACCATTACCACACACTGTGATATCATCAAGATATGCATATTACGTGCCTCGAAGATTCTGTTTCTTGATTTTACTGTAAACGACTCTTTGAAAACTGACAACTCCATTGGTAACACCAAAAGGAATTCTCGCTAATTGATCTAATTCGCCGTACGCCTTAAGCACAGTATAAGGTTTTTCATGTTCGAGAATTGAAATTTGGTGATATGCACTTTTTAGATCTATAAGTGCTGAAAACTTGGTACCGTAACACTTTTGAAATATTTCTCCTATGTTTGGAATTTTTTCTTTTACCATTATACATACCCCTCGTTTTTATCTAAAATACACTCTATCCAGACCTGATTTTGCCTGGTTATTCAATGCAAATTGCGACGCATAAGTACCCTACAATGAATCAAAAAACAAATTTACATAAGCATTAACATGCTCCAAACAATTTGTTAGAACAATTCAAAATTGGATGCATTTTTTTTCAATGAATCTCCAGTTTCCACTAGTAAATCTGAGTTCTCATTAATTTAATGTTAAAATTTTTAGTAGTGTACCTACTTATACCTATAATATTTATTAAATGGTCCTTGATTGCATATTTCAATTTGTAATCGATCTTTCAATATTCTTAACACAACAGTGCATGTTGGATCAAAATAAAAATGAAATGAAATTTGGTTTGACGTGTCTTGAAACTCAAAGCTATAGAAGTCTCAAATTAGAATTTTCGTTATTGAATCTGGCCTGACTCTTGGCTCTACCTACAAATTGAGGCAAACAGATAATTAATTCACAATAACAGAGACATGAATAATGTTGAAAACTAGTTCTATCACTTCTTTTGATTTGAGTAGCCCATTATCAAGTTACCAGTTACATATTACCAAAGGCTTTGTGAACTATTTCAATTTTTTCATGGATTGAGCAAATTTGTTCCCATAACGCAGATTTCAGTTTAGGTTTATACAGTAAACATCTCAAACCATCAGAATTTGAGAAACTTTATTAAAAAAACGACAATACAATTATTGGAACTAAATTTTGTACAATTAATAGCACTTAAGAATGTTTATTGAGCTTGACAAGCTTTTCTGAAACTTCCCACAGTTTCTTTGCCAACTCTGGGTCTTTTGCTGTCGGATACCTGGCCACCCTATGACAGTCTTCAAAATGTTCACCAGAAAAGTTTTCTAAACCCTTTTCAGTGCTACAATAAATCGTTGTTTGAGCTCCTTCAATAGAACTCTGCAAAAAAATAAATACAATTATTATACCTATACTTTAACAATAATTACATTCTTGCCTTGAAAAACCATTTTATAGTAGTTTGCCACAAAATCCTAGTAAAACTTGGCATTTTCTTGAATATATCAGTTAGCACAGCGCCTGGATGCAAAGAATAAGCTGTTACACTAGTGCTCTTCAATCTGTCAGCTAATTCTATAGTGAAAAGTATGTTGCACAATTTGCTCCAGCTATAAACCAACAAATCCGGTCGAGAATTATGTTCTGGAAAATCATTCAGCTTGTTTACATCAAATTCTCTGGTCCATTTTGCACCAATCGAAGCAACGTTGACTATGCGAGAGTTGGGAGTTGATTTTATCAAGTCTGGAAACTAAATAGTATTAATAAATAGTTTGAAGTAGGATATATTTTTACCTAGTAATAAGTTGGTGAGTAAAAAGTGTCCAAAATAGTTGTCTTGCATTGGCAATATCAAGCCGTCTTCTGACATTTTGTTGCCCTGATAACCACCTCCAGCATTGTTAACCAAAATATCCAATCTAAATTATAGGTAATTCAATTAGGTTTTAATTTGTTTGAATATTTTAGTACTTGCCTTTCTTCGTTTTTCCTTATATCATCTGCAAAAGCCCTTACAGATTGAAACGATGCCAAATCAAGTTGCTTAAAGACAATATTCTTATTGTCTGTAACTCTGATTAGATTTTCTTCAGCCTCTTTTCCTCTGGCAGCATTTCTGCACGCTAGGATGACTCTTGCGCCCCTCTTGGCAAAATCAGCTGCAGTCTCATATCCAATTCCTAATAAGAATAAAAACATTTTGACTTATTTATTTGCCTACTTATAAACATTAAAATTCAGACACTGATATAGCAATAGAAGATAAGAATGTATCAAATGCCTCATTCAAGCTAATATTTAATTTGGAATAGTTTTGATTGCTTCTTCCTGTTGTATCTGTAGATGTAGGCACATATTTTGAGTTGGACCTGTTGTAAATCAGCTTCACTTCATAAAATTATTAAAAGCGAGGCCAAAGTAATTAAATAGGTGATTTATGGCCGCACGTGTTTTTCGGCTTTCTTTGTGTTGTCCTCACATTCTTAAACCAAATCTGTTGACCCCGATAAACCAGGAAATTGCGACATAATTATTCGATTTTAAACAAATCAAAACCTGGAAGATATCAATTACAAGGTTAGCACCTAATTAAATTGGACCCAAAATGACAAACATTGCATCATCATCTACAAATGATGAAATTAGTTTTTGGAATTCTATCTAGGTCGAGTGGTCGACCAATATAATTAAATTATAGATGGTCAAACGACCGCCCATTGTCAATTTTGGTTGGTAGTTAATAATATTTTGAGGGGGAATCGAAAAAAATAAATACAGCGGTTTTAGAAGTGGAAGGCAGTTGAGTTAAGTTTAAGTTCAGTCCAGTTGTTAGTCTTCAGCCTGCAGTCCAGTTTTGAGTTTAAAGTTTACAGTCCGGATAAAATTCGCGAAGAGTTTCTTTTATTTTATTGCCTCGGGAAAACATGTTTAATCGAATCTATGTAAAAGTACAGAAATTGTGAAAGAAAGAACATTTAAAGTCATTCAACATTAGGTGCGAGCTCTAAGTAATCAAAAGAATTAAATAAGATTACAGTACATACCTCAGTAAAGAATAAACAAGAACATTTATAAAATCCCGCAGAGTATAGTAAATGTAGAAAATCAAGCTTCAGAAAGTTTTAAAATTATAAAAGGACTAAAGCAAGATTGCTGTTTATCACCTACATTCAGCCGATCATTCAGCATTAGGAGGCCTTGAGAAGAACTAAATAAATAAGTGCTCTAGGCTCTGATATGAGAATAGAAATGGGACAACATTACTTGTTTACACTATTCTTTGCAGACGATAGGGTATAGGTATAACTAAGTCATAGTGTGAAGTGTGAAGAGGACCTGGATTACATGTATCGAAAACTTAAGGACGGATATGAAAAGCAAGATATCTTTGTGTTGGAGATGATAATGAAGACCCTTAGGATCTTAGCTCATGGAGAGATCTGAGAAACCGTGAAGAGTATATAAATACTTGGGAAGCTTTGATATCAACAAAGAGAACATCAGAGAAGAATGGAGAGGCCGAAAAAATAGCAATCGATATGCGGCAGAAGGCTGGAAGATCCCCGCGACGATGATTGATGAGTGAGATAAAGCTAAAATTATCGTAGGTAATACCATAAGAGCTCAGATTTAGCCGGATATTTTTTGGCTTGGTCTCGAATACAGAACAGATCGAGATAAATTGCCTGAAAGTAAGTATGAGAGGGCAAGCAAAAAAATATCCTGCTCAAAATCTGAGCTCGAATGGTATTTAGTACGGCAATTCCACGAATGCATAATCAAAATAAAATATGGAAATACTTTTTAAAATGAACAGTTATTGAAGTTACAATTAGAATACATTTTTGCCCCTTAGAATTTGACTCTACAGAAAGAGAAAAAGACTCTCTTTGTGTTCTCAGGAATTGAATTTTCTATTTCGCTATCAATTATTTCATCATTAATTGTCCCAAATCGGTGCATGTTGAAAATATTTCCAATTTTATTTAAAAATACACTTTTAATAAGCTAAAATGATCGAATTTGTGACACAATTATTTGACAGATGATTCAAAAACCAATTTAATATGCAATTGTTACTACGGTAACGATTGCATCAACAGAAAATTTATCCGATTTTTTTATCCAGTTATATTTTCTCTTCCTTCCTATTTATCCGCTAGCAAACTACGGTTTTTGACATTTCAAATGGGATTATTTATACATGAGTGGAATTGTCAGGGATAAAACATTAAAATAAAATAAAAATATCAATCGGAATATCAAATATTTAGGCCTATATGATGTATCCTCTCCTGTTATTTTAACAGTTTTGTTATAGCTCAAAATGTATACCTGTCTCTATTTTTACGTGTAGATTGAACAGTGACAGATGACTTAACGTTGCGTTTAAAATAACAGAAGATGATACATCATAGGCAGTGTTGCCAATGACCCGATAATTATCGAATTCTACCATAATTTTGACTACGATTCAATAATCGATAATGACAAGCTAATCTACCATAATTTATTGAAACTACAATTTTAATATAGATTTTTCAAATTTCTAGTTAAAAATTAATCGCTGTACCTATACAACATCCTCTTTAAACTTAAAAGCGCTTTTTTAAAATGGTCCCTTTAAAAAAATTTATGGCTTTTAGAATACAGAATCTTGAAAGTGACCAGTTTTAAAAAGCGCTTTTAAGTTAAAAGAGGATGTTGCATACAGTTGTAAAAATTTATTAAAAAATTGAAGGTGGTTGTTGGTTTTGAGTGTTTTGACGTACTGATGCGAGCACCAAACACTTGTCTCAGATTGAGCCAAAGTTTCATGCCAATAACTTTACTGATTTCCAAAATATGGTCCTTTGAAATATTTGAAAATCAAATTCCCATGCATACCCCTTTGGAAAAATTCGAATTTTTAAATTTTTGGATTTTGCAATGTTTGACTTCACCAATCAAAACAGGAGATCAAAATTAGTGAAAAAGCATTTTTGCAACTTTATTTTTAGAGTTTTAAAGCCTTGTAAAAAAATAAAAACGATTTTTGCAATTTTTGGGGTCAAAAAAGTTCACTAATCTGAAACTTTACCTGAAATTTTGCAAAAGCTTTCAGGCGGATTATCTTGAAAACGAAGCCCTTGGGCTCGGAGTCTTAAAGAACCTTTTTTTTTATCCCTTATGAAGAGCTACAATTGGGCAAAAGATTCATGCCAATAACTTCACTGGTTTCCAAAATATGGCCCTTTGAAATTTTTGGAAATCAAATTTCCATGCATAATCCCTTTGGAAAAGTTCGAATTTTTAAATTTTCAGTTTTTCGAATTTTTGACTTCACCAATCGAAAAAAGAGGTTAAAATTAGTAGAAAAACATTTTCGCAACTTTCCTTTTTGGGTTTTAAAGCCTTGTTAAAAAAATAAAAACGATTTTTGCAATTTTTGGGGTCAAAAAAGTTCACTAATCTGACATTCTTTCACAAAGTTACTGATTACTCGGTTGTTATTCTAACAAATACAATGTAAAATTATATATTCTAAATCAGAATTAAATTATCTTCAAGATGAAATAAGATTCAAGTCTATATCTTAAATACTTTTGAAGATATTGAGGCTCAAAGTTGAAACTTTACCTGAAATTTTGCAAAAGCTTCCAGGCGGATTATCATGAAAACGAAGCCCTTGGGCTCGGAGTCTTAATTAACCTTTTTTGTATCCCTTATTAAGAGCTACAATTGGGCAAAAGATTCATGCCAATAACTTCACTGGTTTCCAAAATATGGCCCTTTGAAATTTTTGGAAATCAAATTTCCATGCATACATACCCCTTTGGAAAAGTTCGAATTTTTAAATTTTCATTTTTTCGAATTTTTGACTTCACAAATCGAAAGAGGAGGTTAAAATTAGTAGAAAAGCATTTTCGCAACTTTCCTTTTTGGGTTTTAAAGCCTTGTTAAAAAAATAAAAACGATTTTTGCAATTTTTGGGCTCAAAAAAGTTCAATAATCTGACATTCTTTCACAAAATTGCTGATTACTCGGTTATTATTGTAACAAATATGATGTAAAATTATATATTCTGAATCAGAATTAAATTATCTTCAAGATAAAATAAGATTCAATTCTATATCTTAAATACTTTTGAAGATATTGAGGCTCAAAGTTGAAACTTTACCTCAAATTTTGCAAAAACTTCCAGGCGGATTATCTTGAAAACGAAGCCCTTGGGCTCGGAGTCTTAAATAACCTTTTTTGTAGCCGTAGCCCTTATTAAGAGCTACAATTAGGCAAAAGATTCATGCCACTAACTTCACTGGTTTCCAAAATATGGCCCTTTGAAATTTTTGGAAATCAAATTTCCATGCATACATACCCCTTTGGAAAAGTTCGAATTTTTAAATTTTCAGTTTTTCGAATTTACCCGAAAAATGAAAATAGAGATGAAAAGTCAAAAAAGTTGACAGAAACTTTTTCTGATAATTTTTCTTGGAATCTGATAATTTTGTTCTCAAATCCTGATAATTTTAAATTTGTCATCTGACAACACTGATCATAGGCCTGATTATTTCCAACAGAATTATATGGACGTAAAAAATTCGACTTTTGCAAAAATATTACAAAAAACAGGGTGTTTTCATTCCATAGCGTAACTCTTTGGTTCAAATGGTTTTTTGGTACCATTTTTGAATTCGCCGAAAAAAAAAAATCCAATCGGCTATTTTGATTTTTTTCAAAAATACAGGGTGAAGCCGGAGTCTCGTTCTCGTGTATTGGTTTTCCGACGAAGGATGTCCGAAAAACCTTCTATTTTGACATAATCGTATAAAAATATGTCAAAATAGAAGGTTTTTCGGACATATTTCGTCGGAAAACGGATACATGAGACTCCGGCCTAAGTAACCCTGTTCATATTTACTTTTAGATTAGAAATTATAGAACAATAATGGGTTAAAACTATTGACAAAACAAAAAATTACCTCTTTAATCACCAAGTAATAGTTATTTATTATACGAGACGGTAAAAAGATGCTTTACCAGGGGCGCGTTCAGATTGAAGAGTCCGGACGACGTCCAGTGAAGAGCGCACCCGATAGAGAGCGCACTCCGAGTGTGCCCGGTACAGTGACCCGGCGATTCGCCCAATCTGAACGGCCAAGACGCAGTCTCTCTTTATAACCTCACTGATTCTAACATTTTTGCCATTTTCTTCAAAATTTTTTAAATAAATACTAACTATGGAAGAAGCCATAGTATCTTCCTTCATATTTAAAGAGTTATTTAATGATGAGGACGCTTCATCTTCGGACCACGAGGATGTGCTAGTGTCAGTGATTGCTATCAATTTAGCATCACAAACTAAACAAAAAAAAAGAGGCCACTTTTTTTTTTAAATAGAGTTGATGAGGATAACGAAGAATTTGGATAAACCCACCATAACTCGCAAAAATAATTATTTACAATATTTGCCTTTATTATTTAAGGTAAGAAAACAAATTTTATCTTGCTATTTTATGGGACGCAAAAGTGTGCGTCCGGGCGTTGTCCGGTAAAAATCTACTGACAATCTGAACGGCTGGGTAAATTTTACCCCCAGGGCTGCGTTCAGATTGAACGTCGGTTGTCGCCCGAGCGCGCTCTGACCGTTCAGATTGCCTTGGGTAAAATTTACCCAGCCGTTCAGATTGTCAGTAGATTTTTACCTGACGACACCCAGACGCACACTTTTGCATCCCATAAAATAGTAAGATAAAATTTGCCCCGCATGCGCGTTTGTGTTATGTTTATGTTCTAACCAATAATAAAGGCAAATATTGTAAATATTATTGTTGGGAGTTATGGCGAGTTTATCCAACAAATAAAATAAAATAGGAAATAAATTAAAATAAAGAATTAAGGGTTAAGAGGTATTATTTTATATGTGATAGTTCTACCAAAAAAAAATCAAAATAAAATAAAATAAGAGTTGATAATCTTTGAATTTTCTTTTTTCTTATTTTACAAAAATGTTAGAATCACGAACACACAGTGAATTTTGAAAAGGCAACAAAATCAAAATCAAAGCATCCCATAAATAGTGATGTTATGAGGAGAGAATGCGTCTTGGCCGTTCAGATTGGGCGAATCGCCAGGCACACTCGGAGTGCACTCTCTATCGGGTACGCTCTGCACTGGACGTCGCCCAGACTCTTGAATCTGAACGCGCCCCTTGTGAGTGGAAAATGTTGATTCACGAGCGACGAAGGAGCGAGTGGATTAATTTCACGAACAGGTAAAGCTTTTTTACCATCGTGTGTAATATTCTATTTTATTCTTGAGTCTTGAGCAACTTATTATTTATCACAATTACTAAAAACATAAACTGAAATATGCTAAAATTTTACATAGATTATGACAAGTTGCCAAAGTACCTAATAAACTGACACATTTCTGGTGTTGTCAATCATGCAACATAACCAGATTTCTGTCAAAAACACTATAATTATTATAAAAGATTTGAACAAGTGGGTACAATTGACGTATGAGTGGGTAAAATTGACGTATGAGTGGGTAAAATTGACAAATGAGTGGGTAAAAATTGTTCGACTCCACTACTTCAAATAAAGTGTTACTTTAACAACGAGTTTTGAGTCGATTAAATGATAGTTTACCATTCGCGATAGAATAAATTACATTTATTTTATGTTAAAATAGAAAAGTGCGACTTAGGATAAGTACTATTATAATACTATTTCGACCTACCTAAATAACTTAAAAGTTTAACCTATGGAATGACTTATGAGATGTGACGTCATTTCAGAGAAGTAACTTTTAGTTATGTTATGTATTTGTCAAAATAGTTTAATAATACCCGCCTTTAGATGCAATAACCATTCTTATCTACAAGCGTTTGATTATGTCGTTTTTACATAACCATTTTTCTAGTATTTGAGTTATGTCATGAGACTCATAACACAACTAGTGGTGTTATGAACTAGGTTATGAATCTATAGCTCTGTTCAAACTAACATGAGAACCGTGCTAGAACAATAATTTCCAGTCAATCAATTTATTTGTCATGTAGGGTAAACGTTCAACTTATTGAAAAATAGATGGGCAACTGGAAATTATTGGTTCTGGAACGGTTCTCATGTCGGTTGGAACGCAGAGCTTATAACACAACTATTTTTGCTGATTTGATAATAGTAGACAACTACTATAGTTATTAAGGTATCAAGGGTATTATAAGGATATTAACGCTTGAGATCAATGGTGTATATACGTTGACCAAAAGCGTTAATATCCCTGATACCCGTGGTGCCTTCAACGTTTAATGTTCGACTCAATTATTTTTTATATGAGAAAATAATTTTGAACAAATTAATCTAAAACAAATCAAGTAGGTAGGTACCTGCAAAAAAATTGTCATAACGCCCTAGGGAGTTATTTTTAAATAACGCTCTAGGGAATTATTTCCTATTTGAAAAAATAGTCATAACGCCCTAGGGCGTTATTTTTTAGAATAATGCCCTAGGGAATTATTTCATATTTATTAACTGACTTTGACATAATGTAACTATTTCACGAATAATATACCAGTCGGACATTTATAAATGAAAATAATTGAAAAAAAAAATATTATGCTTTGTAGATAAAACGTTGTACATTACGTGTGCGTTCAAATATTATAATCTAATCTTCCACTCTCGTTATTATAATAATGTTCATAAACGCACTTGTAATGTAAATAACTATTATTTTAACTATTATATTTGCCTTATACAGAAAATATTATTTTCTAGTGAATTTATAATTTAGACATGTAAATATTTTGCATTTTACCTGCATTAGCTCCAGTAATAATAGCAGTTTTTCCTATAAGACAAACATTATTTCTGCTCCATCCTGTAGTGAGTTTAATCCATAATTTAATTGCCGCTAAAACTAAAACTATCCAGAAGACTACCCAGAAAAAAGCACATGAAATACAACCCATTTTAAATTATTATTGGCCCAACTATAAAATACTACTATACTAAAATCACTACCTACTTGATAAAAATTTGTTATCAGGTAATAGTTATTAACAAAAAAATTGAACTTTGCCCTAGGTACCAAGAATCATATACTCATATAGTCGCATCAATAAACTATAATTTATTTATAAATGAACCTTGGCAGGCAATTGCAGTCATTAAATGTTTACTATTTGATAAATGAGTGATCAATAAAAAAAACTACGCATTATATAATTATTATTATAGCATTGCAAGTTCAATAATCCCAAATGTATTATTAATAATAGGTCTGTTCGCACATAAATCACAAACCAGGGAATTTCATTGGTTGACAACAGACAGAAAACTAGTTTCACCAATGAAATTCACTTTGTTTTTTTGCAATTGGTTATCGATATACATCAGTACAGATTATAGCGCGTATGGATGTGCATAGCCATCGATACGATATTCTTTCAAAAAACCTTCACCTCTTGTTCGTATTTATATTAATGTGAGAATATGTTGATACATTCATCTGAAACATTGACAAGTGAAGTTCAAGTTTGCAAGATTCTTATCATGCACCATCATCAAGAGCGTATCGATGATATCATAACTTTCACTTTCAAATCTTAAGGTAGGGAGGGCTTATCGATATTATTGGCTATCGATCATATGGATATTAATTATGAAAAATAAAGGATAAAACATAAACAATACTAACAATAATAATTTTGCAAGATCCAAGTTCAATTAAAACTATTTCTCTTCAACTAAAAACGTATATTACAATAATAATTTAAGCATTCTACAATCGCTCTATCCAGTCCTAGCAGCCAATAAGCTAGCTCTCTTATGATCAACACACTCTTGAAAGGCTTGAACTATTTTAGAACATTTCATAGGTTCCTTAGCATTACTCTTATAACAATCTATAACAGCTTTCTTTGAATCAAGACAAGGGATTTCTCTCAAGCTCTGAGTGGCTTTGCCGGTTTTAAATTCTTCCAAGGCCTTTTTATATTCATCGTCCATTGCTTGTTTCACTTTCTTGTGGTTATCTTGGATTTTTTCCACTCGATTATGCCAGTATTCATCGTTTTTTTGCAGTTCGGCTATATTTTGTTGGCGTAACTGAAGACTAGTTAGCGAGGGCTCGTGCAAGTATACCGGTACTTGTACCACTTGTGGAGGAATGTCTGAGGAAGCGATTTTTTGATTTGAGGCACGTACCGCACCTCGTAAGCGTTCAGCTACATCATCCGAAACTTTAATTACGCTTGTAGGGTCCTCGTTTTCGACGGTCAGAGTTCTAGTTTTGCTCGTACCGGAACCCATTTTTTTTTATAGTTTCTCTAAAAAACGTATCAACATTTATATTTTTGTTATGTAATGAGTGACAATTTGATTTGTTACCAGCTGGATTTATGATTGTTGTTGTAATCTATGATTTAAAATAAAATTTTGCACTTACCAGTTGTAAGAAGATCTTCACTATTTAATAAATAAGCTTTATAAATAAATTATTTTTAGCTAAAAAAGGAAAAATGTACACACTACACACAAAATCATAACCTCAATTAAAATGAAATTCTTCTTTTTTCCTTGTGGCATTAGCTACTAAACATGTAAAATACAAATTTGGCAACACTGCATCAGCTGATACTTATAAACATTGCCAAAAATTATTTATTTTTAAATGTTTACTACAACTACAGAAAATTTCCTAGTTAAAAAATTACTATGCCACATAACATAACAAATGGCATTGTTTTTAACCAAATGGAGGTTCTTCCAAAATCACTTACCAAAATTGTACAATGTGGCTAATTCTAATTACAGCAAGATTTCGAAAGAAAAAGAGTATAAGGTAAAGAAATTTGAACTTAAAAGTTTGATATTTTATGTGAAGCCTTTATAGAGATGCTTCAAAGTGCTTGAAATAGACGAGAGCAGCGATCCAGAACAAATCCGTATGGCTTATCTTCAATTGGTGAAACGATTTCATCCGGATAGCGGAACTGAAGAGGCGAATGTTGAAAAATTCCACGAAGTATGTTTAAATTCAAAATCCCAACACTAAATTTATTCCCATGTAGACATGGCCCTGAGAATATTCTAGTGAGAACAGAGAATTTACCGAGAATATTCTTTGGCCTTAAATTCTCGAGAATTTATGATTTTTTTAGGTTCAAGAATTTATGAGATTATATGGTAGTTTTCGAGAATTTACGAGAAGTTAGCTGTAATTTTTGAATTTATCGGGGTTCATTGTGAAAAACGAAAAGCAGATCCGGAGTCTCATGCTTCCGTTTTCCGACGTTCGATATCCGAAAAACCTTCTATTCTGACATATCAAATTTTTGTGCTACTGAGTATAGTCTGGCAAGTGGTAACTTGGTAGAGACGAAAGGGGGAAGAAAAGTGGGGCGTGACCTAAAAATATTCACTGACACCTCAACTGACACCACCTGATGACAGCCATGTCTTTCAGTTCCGTGGCACCGGAAACACCAATAAAATTATTAGAAAAAAAAATTCTTTAGTTTCGTTAATAACCACGCCACTGCCTGCCGTCGTTCAGACTCTAACCAATAGAATCATACCTTTGAATAATCACGCCTCTCCACATCTATCATTTTGCAATGTTGCCGGATTTTTTTCTATTTCAAAATACTACACATGCCCATATAGCAAAAAAAAAAATGTCACCAACTTGTTTATCATTATTTCTGTCAAGTTTGGCAAATTAGCAAATTCTTTTGCAGTTCGCCGTTTCGCTAGCCAGACTATACTGAGTGTATTTCCAGAAAGCTCTCAGCCTCTTAAAGAAACACATTTTTTGTTGCACGATTTCCACCAACTGGAAACGCCATAAGTTATTACATTGTCCCCGTAATGTGCAAAGTGTGTGTAAAGAAATATTTAATTTAATATTAGTTTTTACTAGTTTTGAGGAAATTCCATCGAAAATTAAACCTAGAGGGTTGATATGAAAATATTTCAGACAAAATAGGGACAATAAATTTCAATGTAAATTTTCTGATTTTGTGAATCAAAAAAATGCGAAAAGCCGCAAATGATGTTAAGAAGCTATATTCTTTGAAATTCCCTAAAATTCTCCAAAATTCTCCAATGTTCCCGAATATTCTCCAAGAAAATTATCTCAAAATAAATTCTCGAAAATTTACCATCTCTATTCCTATGAAATGTTACTAATATAGTCGTAATCACGATAGAAAGTGAAGTTGACAGTTCGCGTTGACATTTCTAGTAAACTTTTTCTTTAGGTTGTCAGCATGTGTTAGTGCTTCGATTCCGTCAGCTGGGATAAACGACAGGGTCGTATTTAGAAAAGTGATATACATTTCAGAATAAAAATTTATTTCCAATTTCTTTAAAGGAAGTTAAGTTATTAAAATCCAAAAATCCTAAAATTAGAGTCCAAAGTAAACACTTATAAAAAGAGTAAACACTTAAATCCAAACTAAAACCAGGTTTGAAACGCAACACCGAAACACAAAGGCACAGAACACTACATAAAAAACCAAAAAACCCATTGCGATAATAACATAAAAAAATAATGCAGAAAACGGCAAAAAACTGAACGATTTTACACAAAAATTCGAAATTCAAAATTCAGAAACCCGAATCTGATATTTTCATATGTCAAATCCAAATGTCATGTATCATTATTTGATAGTTGTCAGAAGAAGGGACAGATCTGGGAATTTTATTTATTTTCAACTGGTGAAAATCTATGGTGAAAATAACGGTCAAAATTCAAACTCTATCGTGAATACGACTATAACAAATATTCTAAACTGGAGACAGGTGCAGATGTCTGATCAGATACTGCTGGCTCCAAGTTAACAAAAGATGGACAACCATGTAAAATTAGACACTTTCTGATGGAAACATCCTTTATTTTTCGAGATAAAAACAATGAACCCCCCACTCTGGGGCTCAAATTTCATGAAATCTTGATTGGTACAAACCGCATTTTGATATCTTCAACGGTTCAACCGTTAGAGGGTGATTCTCGATTTTGAGCAATACTGTGAAACCTTATTCATAACTTTTTTGTTTATGAAAATAATTAATTTCCGTAACCACTTTCGAGAAGCACTTTTTTACGCGGAATTCAGTAACATTCTCAGTTTTTTCTATTTGGCTCCGATTTCGAGATATTGACCAAATCCGATTTTTTTCAATAGGACATCCTATATATTAATAGCTTATTGGAAAGCTCTGCTTTTGCTGATTTCAATGATATAAGGTTCGATAGGTTTATCTCCAACGGTTTCCGAGAAAAAAAATATTTCGGTTTTTGCCATAAAGAACATTGCAAAAGGACTTTATATCTGTAAGGAAAACGAGAAAGGTCTCTTTCTAACACATTGTTTCTTATGACATAAACAGGAATAATTGTTTTCTCGAAAACTGCTAGAAATAAACCTATCGAACCTCGAACCTTATATCATTGAAATCAGCAAAAGCAGAGCTTTCCAATGAGCTAATAATACATAGGATGTCCTATTGAAAAAAAGTCTTGTTCAAAATCGAAAATCGACCTCTAGCGGCTAAACGGTTGAAGATTCATTGACTGACATTGTCAAAATTAAAGAAAAATATTGCTAAGACGTACGTTTAAAAAACCATAGCAATCTTCGATTGGTTTTTTTTTTTGAAGACCCGATATCAAAATGCGGTTTGCACTCGGGTTTGCACCAATCAAGATTTCATGAAATTTGGGTCTCAGAGTGAGAGGTTCATTTTTTTCTATCTCTAAAAATTAAGGGTGTTTCCGGGGGGCGGTTAACTCTGTTAAATCGATGTACGAATGGACTTAAATCACTTTAAATCCCTTATTAAATCACATAAATCATCTTGTTTTGCTCTAAATCAGAATAAATGAGATTAAATCCCTTCAAATCTCTTTAAATCCCTTCAAATCTCTTTAAATCCCTCTCAAATCTTTTTAAATCAATTAAATCCCTAAAAATCTGAGATCCGGAACACTTTAAATCCCTAAATAAATTTCCTTAAATCACCTTAGTTTTTTCATAAATCATGGAATTTCTTCCTAAGAAAAAGGAAGAAATTCCAACTTACGATGGCCATTAAGCCCGAATGAAATAGTTATTTTCCTAACAAGTGCGCAAAGTGATACTTTCCCGCACGAAAAAGCAGTTAGACAACGACGCGAAGCGGAGTTTGGATAAGCTTTGAGTGCGGGAAAGACGCTTTGCGCAAGTGTTAGGAACAATATTTTTTCTACGAGTATCTTAAAAAAGTAGACTTTGAATTGTTAAAATATTAGAAAAATCAATCAATTCAAAATCGTTTAGAATCTATTGGAATTCCTCAGATTGTCTTTTAAATTAAATCCCCAAAAATCTTTTAATATCTTCTGGAATTTCTAGAATACCAGCTAGAATATTTTTATGGGAGTCTCTTAAATATCAAAAATTCTACAAATTCCTAGCAGTACAGGCTGGTCTAATTTGGATACCTTTGATAGGAAACATCATGTTAACTAAGCGCTAATTTCAACCTAAACCCTTCATTTTGAGTATTACTTTATTCAGAAACCATCAAAACATTGAAAATTCAAGTATAACTACAGTAAATATGCGTAACAAAAATGAGTGCGCAAAGAGTTTCCGTGCGCAAGGTTCAAGTTTTCGCACGCAAATGGGTGTGCAAAGTGATTACTTTGCACAAGCGAGTAGAAAAATACCTTATCAATAAACCTGGGCCGCAAAAGCCTCACAAACTTTATTACTTTTAGAATTTTTTTTATTAGTTCAAAATTTAAGTTGGACTATTATGAGAGAGAAAGTACCCATTAGCACTAAAATATCTGGTTATTAGATACATTTTCATCTTCTCAGGATTAAATTAATTACCTTGAATCATCCCAGGTTAAATCAGTTCAAATCGAGGTTCAAATCTTAAAAAAATCTTTAATCCATTTAAATCTTCTTAAATCAGGTTAAATCTTCCTAAATCAGGTTAAATCTTCCTAGATCAGCTTAAATCTTTTTAAATGATCCAATAAATCTTTAAATTACCTTAAATCACCTTAAATCAGTTAAGGTCTGAATAAAAATCTCTTAAATCCAATCAAATCTGTTAAATCAGTTAAAATCAACAGTGATTTTAAATCGGTGTACACATTTTGAAGAAGTTGACCGCCCCCCGGGTGTTTCCATAATAAAGTGTCCAATTTGGACCACCCTGTACAAATTATGTTAGGTGAAAAAACCCTCGTTCGAGGTCTTTTACTGAGCTTTTTCTTTCTATCTCCTAATTGAGAAAAAAACGATTGGGTTTTTGATTCAACTGTATGTGATAACGTTACATTTTTTGACATTTAGTTGAAGATTAGGTAATTACTAAACCCCATGTGGTAAACAAGTTAAGTTGTTCTTGCAAAGATTGACGATTGACAGTCTACAACTTTTCCGTATGTATTTCAGAGATCATCAGTTTTATTTCACAAAGCGTCAACTGCAATTTAGATTAGTAAATTGTATTTCGGAAACAGGGTCGGATTAAGGTCTTTTGGGGCCCGGGGCTATTTTCACAAAAGGGGCCCCTAGGTCCCTGAAATAAATTCAAACGTCACTCAAAATTTTACCTTGCAGATTAAAAAAATGTAATTTTGGACAAACTGTTTGATTTGGAATTTTTTTTTCTTGAATAAATATTTCTGAATTATCCACCACTATCACCGTACTTAGTAACATTTCTAAAATTTGTTTTTTAAATCAAAATAAAAATTAAAAAATTGGCAAATAAAAATTATTGCCATGTAATCAGCTAGATATAGTAGTTCTCTACAACTTTCTCGTATACATATTTTTGATATTATGCATATTAACGCCAAAAAGTTATGATTACAGAATTACTGGTGGTTAACGCGCTCTCAAATTGTAAAGGAGCCCACATACTGCGTTTTTGTTGGACAGTTCTGTTGTACGTGCAAATCTGATCGAGCGAAAACGATACAAAACCGAAGTGTGTGTGCGAAAAATTGTCGTTTTT